CAGAGCCTGGAGCCTGTTTCCGATTCTGTGTCTCCCTCTCTCTCTGCCCCTCCCCCGTTCATGCTCTGTCTCTCTCTGTCTTAAAAATAAATAAATGTTAAAAAAAAAATTAAAAAAAAAAAAAGTCTAAGACAGTTTGAGGAGCCAAAAAGTGTTTCTAGAAAAATTTGTTGAAGTGACAGTTGGCTGAACTGCATTTGAATTAACAAGTTGATAAACTGTCTAGCTGACCAGAATGTGAGCAGATGTCACCTGTAAAAATGAAAACAACAAAAAAATCACCTAAAATGTATCTACATAAAGGCTCTTCCAAGAACATTAGGAAATCTTTAGGTAGACCCACTTTCTATGAACAGAGGATGATTTGCAAGATAAACCATGTGAATAAACCTCTAGATAAGTATAATTTACCAAAAAGAAATTCCTATAGTGTTACATAAATTTAACTGGAAAACATAAGTCTTTCCACAAAGAATTTGCCAAGACCTGAAGGTTTTATAGACAAATTCTGCTAAACTTTCAAAACAGAGTGTTCCAAATTTATGCAATTTTTTTCAGGAATTTGGGGGGAAACAAAAGGAATTCTATGAAGGATTCCAACCCATTCTATGAATCCCCAAACCTGAAAAAAAATCACTATAAGAGGAAAACTGTAAGTCAGTTTCATCCATGAACAAAATTATGAATATTGGGAACAGGAAACAACTCACTTCAGTTTATTTCCAGAAGTACAATCGTCTGACATTACTAAGGGACTGTGTAAACTAAAAGGAGGTATGATTGACTTATCCGTTACATTTCACATACTTTTCATAGTGAAATCTGAATTTTAGGACCACTGTGATAGAAAGATTTGGACCAAAAAGAAATAGGTTTTGAGAAATGTGGCCTATTGACAGTGCTATAATTAACTTGGATTATATAAATATGTGTAAATATCATATACTGCATTAACCCATTAAGGTTTTTTAAATGACCACTTTTCAAACAATGCAGAAAAATGTCTGTATAAAATTCAACACCCCTTTAAAATTAAAGAAACCTTTCATCGAAATAAGAGATATTTAAAAAAAAATTTTTTTTTCAACGTTTATTTATTTTTGGGACAGAGAGAGACAGAGCATGAACGGGGGAGGGGCAGAGAGAGAGGGAGACACAGAATCGGAAGCAGGCTCCAGGCTCTGAGCCATCAGCCCAGAGCCGGACGCGGGGCTCGAACTCACGGACCACGAGATCGTGACCTGAGCCAAAGTCCGACGCTCAACCGACTGAGCCACCCAGGCGCCCCAAGGGCTCACATTTTTAATGAAATGTTAAAAGAATTTTCCTAAAAATCAGAAAGTAGATAAAGATGCTCTACTCTACTCTTTATCAGCCTTTTACTAGAGATCCTAGCCAGAATAGTACAGTAAGAAAGAGAAACAAAAGGCGTAGAAATTGGAAAGATAGAAACAAAATTGTCATTCATAGATGATGCGATTTGACCATTTTAGAGAAAACTCAGAATGATGTACATATAATTATTGGCATTGATAATATTCGAGCCCCTCGTTGAGCTCTGCTCTGACACTGGGGAATCTTCTTGGGATTCTCTCTCCCTCTCTCTCTGCCCTCCCCAACTTGTGTTCATTCTCTTTTCTCTCGATCTCTCTCTCTCTCTCTCAAAATAAATAAGCGTTTAAAAAAAAGAATAGCCAAATAAATTGTATTTTGCTATCATAGTAGATTTTTAGGCCAATATAAAAAGAATGAACTATACAAGTAAACTGCGCTTGGATGAATCCCAGAGACAATAATATATTGAGTGAGAGAGAAGTTGTGGATGATATACTGTTTCCGTATCATTGTGTAAACTGCAAAAAGAAGCAAAACTAAATAACATAAGATACCTTGCATATGTGGCATCATATACAAAACATAGATTTCAAAAACAGGCGAATGATAACATTCAAAGTACAGGGCAGTGGGGTGAGAAAAGTGAGTGGTGGGAGAGGAGAGAAAGGCAGATACGAAGGTGTATAGACAGTGTTCCAATTTTAAAGCGGAACCTTGGCCTCGTGGTGTTTATTTTCTCTCATAAATTATACATAATGCTGTGCATATTCTTCTGTAAGTCTCAAATGCCTATGATGACAAGTTTTTAAATAGAAAGAATCCTCATTTTTAAAAAGCACAGGAAAAAATTTTAACTCTATAAACAGCTTTCTTTTTATTCAAATGTAGAAGTTCTATAATTGCTAATATCGACATTAAAGAAATTTTTTTTTACATTTATTTTTGAGAGACAGAGAGAGACAGAGCACAAGTCAGACGGGCAGAGAGAGAAGGAGACACAGAATCTGAAGCAGGTTCTGGGCTCTGAGCTGTTAGCACAGAGTCCGACATGGGGCTCAAAGTCACAAACCACCAGATCATGACCTGAGCCAAAGTTGGATGCTCAACCAACTGAGCCACCCAGGCGCCCCTGCTAATATCAACATTTACAGACAAGTATACACATAATGTCCTGTGTTCCCCTAACACCCGCACCCGATCCATGAAATGTTACAGAAAGTAGAGTTTCTAGAAAGCTCCTACCTGATTGGGCTAACATAATGTTGGGAGGGCATATCCTAGACTGGAGTACCTTATTCAAAGGAAGAGCGGGCTGTATCGGAATTTAAAATTTCACCTTTTAATGATGATGTATTGTTTGAGCCGGAAGGAACCTAGAAATCATCTGCCCCGTGCTTCTCACTTCACTGATGAGCAAACTGGGGCTAGCTTCACAGCAAACTGGGGCTATCAAAGGGGAAGTGACTTTCTCAAGCACGTGGATGGCCAGGTGCCAGGGGTCCTGTCTTAGTGTAGCCCCTACATCTCTGAAAAGATGGATGGCCTTGTACTAACAGGCTGGTTTCCTTGGCAGTCCACATTGGCAAGAGGGAACCAGTGAATGAGAAAAGTCTGGATCGTCCAGAACAGCAGCCGAGGAATTGGCTGCTAGGTGTCTGTCTCGGCAGGCAGAGATAGTGGGGGGCGGGGGGACGTGCTCAGGAAGTTAATGGAAAGTCACGAAGCAGGGAACGGATCGCACCTGGCCAAGCAATACATTGAAGGGAAGCGTAGCGGTCATGTGTTGGACTTGTGACTTCAGCAGAATCAGAGTAAATTGACCAGAACATGAGTTGGCTCCAAACAAATTGGATAATGAACTTGTGCCACACCTCCTTTGCCACACCAGTCCCGGCAACTCCACTCCAATACCAGCCACAGTCACCTACAGCCCTACAGCTCCTAGGGAGTTGGGAAGAATAGCAAAGAGCTCATTTACCTAAGCTGACACCTGGAACGGAAATAAGGACAGGATTTCTTTTCTTCTCTCTTAGTGTTTTATTTATTTTTGAGAGAGAGAGTGCAAGCAAGGGAGAGGCAGAGATAGAGGGAGGCAGAGGATCCGAAGTGGGCTCTGTGCTGACAGCAATCAGCCGACGTGAGGCCGAACTCAGGAACCATGCAATTTTGACCTGAGCCAAAGTCAGAAGCTCAACCGACTGAGCCACCCAAGGTGCCCCAAGGACAGTATTTCTAAGTTAGCTATGGATGGAAACTTGAGACTGCTTTTGAAGTAGTAAGACAGAGTGCT